GCAATCAGTGTCCGTAGGTATGGTATGTGCTTTGCACCTTCGAAGTGCAAAGTACTCCTACAAGACTGGCAGGATTCCAATCCTGTACTCACCCTGGATGGTGACCAGATAGACGTAGTCGAGAAGTTCGTGTATCTGGGTAGCTGCATAAGTGCTTGTGGTGGCGTTAGTGATGAGATCAATTCACGTATAGTGAAAGCCAGAGCGGCTTATGCCAATCTGGGCCACTATTGGCACTTTCGTGATGTTAGTCTGGCCGTAAAATGTCGGATCTACAACGCGTCGGTGAGAGCAGTTCTGCTCCATGCTTGTGAAACCTGGCCTCTCCTAGTTCAGGACGTCAGACGAGTCTCTGTGTTCGATCATCGTTGTCTCCGAAGGATTGCTGACATCCAGTGACAACACCTTGTTAGTAATGCAGATGTTCGGCATCGTGTGTTCGGGCACAGAGACGATAATGCGATTGGTGGCACCATCTTGAAACATCGACTTCGGTGGCTTGGACATGTTCTACGAATGTCCTCCCAGAGAATTCCACGTCGTGCATCATTTGCGGACGCCGGGACTGGTTGGAAAAAGCGGAGAGGTGGTCAGTATATGACATGGTGTCAGGGTACGAAAGAAAGCTGCAAAGGGCTGACTTTTGTTGTTCCTTCGCAACTCCCTGGCTGGTGTCCGAGAGATGGTGCGACACAGTGGCTAGAGACGTTATCAGATATGATTCAGAATACAAGCCAGTGGCGATCCTGCTGTAACCTTTTACTTTCTTCATAAAAAGTGGTTGTATCTTCCTTAACTGAAATTCTTCTGGTTGTACCTTTCCGTTTTCTCCATTATTATTATTACTTTACATTAACTTACACTAATCTGTGGTTGTTATTGTTCTTCTTTTTTTCTTTTACGCTCCTTACCTTCTCTTTTCTCCATTCCCATTCTCGTTGTTTTGTGTGACACATATATATTTGGTGCCCCCTTGTACCAATATTTATGTGTTCAAACGAATAAATATCCTAGTGAATATTAGATTATAGGTAACTTCTGAGAACTATTGTTGAACAAATATTATATATATATTGCATAACTATTCAGTAAGTAGATTGTGTATATCTATATTCCTTTTATCATAAGCTTTAATTAACTTGTAGACCATTATTATGCGATTTGCTGTTCTTAAGCTATGTCCAGTTTATTAATTACAGTCTTCCACGTTGACAGCCACTTTTTGGCCTGATCTTGTACAAATGTTACTTCCTGTTTTGTGGTATGATGTGGTCTGTTTGGCTGGTATACGAACCAATTATGTTTGAAATAAGCCGTTATTGGCATTCTGGACTCAACTGGAAGGGGTAGGAGAACAAAGGACCCGCCATATACTGATTCCGTAGGTATATATATATATATATATATATATATATATATATATATATATATATATATATATATATATATATATATATATATATATAAACGCATGTTTAGAGTCTTGATTGAGTATATTTTCAGGCCTGAGGACGAAGTTGGACAGCTGACTGTACGGGGGTGTGATGAGATACTGAATCTCTATTGATTGAGATGGTTCGCACATGTAATTACGTATGTCCAGCCACTGCCTTCTATATGGTTGGGGTAAGCGCGATTATCGTAACCAATCTTTAGAGACTGGAAGACTGGGGTCAAAGTTATTTGCATAGGTGTACCCATTCTATATTGCCCTATGTCTTAAATCGTTACATTTCTTTATGAAAATTTATACGCCTAATGATTTTTTATTACCATATGATGTGGCAAGAGAAAATAAGAAATAACTGGCCACCGAGCAAAGATAGACATTCACCTGTAGGAAGTATCAAAAGACTATATGATACTTTGAATTCGTTCTACTATCGATTTCTCTGGATTCAAAACAGTGCGTGGAGTTGTTGTAATTATGTTAGTAAATTTTTACCAATTTAATCTGATTCTCAATAGTTTCATCCGAAAGTGTGTATCTTGTATCGAGCGCAGTGATCGAATAATCTAATACCTGGGTGTATCAAGCTCGGATTTTCAGAAAACCGTATTCCATCTCTCTCTTGCTCTAGCACAGAGAGACAAAATTATCAAGCAGTAGCAATATCAGTAATAATAAGAAAGATCAGACACACAAAATGGTGTTAGAAGATCCTGGGGCTCATGTTCTAAGGGAAAATAAAATTGAATGCACCTACACCATTGTGAAAGACTCTGAGCTTTGTCATTCAGTCTCTAAAGATTGGTTACGATAATCGCGCTTACCTCGATCATGTAGTCTCCACATATATACATGGTTCATTCCAATAATCAATGAATTTAAGGACTGATACCGCGTTTTATTTAAATGTGCCTAGCTTTCTTACAGCCTACTCTTACAATAACTTTATAGCTCCGGGATTTGTTTTGTCAATTTGAAATTACTACCTTTATGGGATGTGGCGACTTGAACCGTTAGATATATGTGCCAGGTTTTATGTTGCATGTGATTGAATAAATAAATAGGAAGCGTGATAATAACGAGAGGGAAATAAAAAGTCTAGTTTACGAAAACGATATAAACCAACTAGGACACTAATAGAACATGATACTTGATCTCTAAGTGAACAACTGAGGTTCTATTATATAATATTATCTATAAAAATAGCTTAATGTTAAGATATGTGTTATGAGAATAAGATCTCAAACGTTCACTTCACTTCGCACAACACTGAGATTTTCGACTAGTAGTTCTTGGTGAGAATTAGATGTTTGGTAGAAATCACCTGTTTCTTTAAGCTTATGTGCATAATCACAGAGTATCGATTCACGAGTATTAGGGTGAAGTGACAAAATGAAAATTTAAATTCGGGAAAATATTTTTGAGCGAGTTAGGTTATTTATTTTTATGTTTATTTACTACACCATTGGTACTTTGTAACTTTCATTGAAAGCCGTTTTAGTGCAATTTGTATCATTTTCCTTAATACTCGTTGACCACATTGTCATTTGGAGACATAACAAAAAAATAAATGAAAAATCACTCGGTAGAAAGTTCAGGCTCTGAGTTCGAGTCCTGCGTGCAAGATCGTGAATATGCACTACTGAGGAGTCCCACACTAGGAGAAAACGGTTGTCCAGTGCTTCCAGGTTTTTATTCGTGGTCGAACATTTATCGGGTCGTGATCTCAATTAACCTCCACAACCCTATACTGATTTTTATAACATGATTGTTTGCTGAAAAATAAAGTAACGGTCCCGCTGTTAAAAAATGCGTAGTTTTTGTAAAGAATATGATTAATTCCCAGTCACATTTAATTTTCAGCCATTATATCTAATTAAAATCAAAGTTTGATTGAGTTTATCGAGAACAGAGAATTAAATCGAGATACTAGCCCCAAGTTGAGTAATCCTATGTGGGTCAAAATATTGATCAAGTCGAACATGATCTAAAGGTTTGACTGTTTCCACCAGGAATGCGAAACCGAGATTCAAAAGTATACATACATGAGAAATATTTAAGCTCATAGGAAAACAACAATTCAAAAATCACCAGACATTATGTTATATTTTTTACTGTTTCAGAAGGGAACGTTTACCTTAATATACAAATAAGTTTAACAAACAATGGAATATGAGCATTACTTTCTAATAATAAAATTTTGACATTTAGACATTTAGATAGTCTGACAGGTGTTAGATGAGTTATATATTCCCCTACCCCATTATTATTATTGGTTGTTCATTGTTGTTGGATTGTGTCGGGTTTCGGTGTGGAAATACATTTACGTTCTAGTCAGGCTAATCACGTGTTCTTGATCTGAGTTGTGTTGAAGTCCTGTAAAATAAATACTGGAAGGGAATCTAGTGTAGATATTCATCTAAGGTAAATTAACGTCACATTCGTGTAAATGTGGAAAACCAACCGTTAAAACAGAAATATTAAAGCATTTATGAGTATTAGTAGGAGATACCAGGATGTTTATTGACATTCTGTTAGTTTTATGTTCTGTCTAGATCGTAGACGGGTGTTGATGAGGAGTCCCAAACTAAGACAAAACAGCATTCCAGTGCTACCTAGTTTTCAACTGATATCCAGTTTACGTAGGTTCTTGATATGAGTAAACAATTGAAGTTCAGCTAGCAAATACATTCAAAAAGATAAAAGTAATTATGAATATGAGTCATCTTAAGAAACCTACATTGTTGGACCAAAAAGAAATACCAGACGTAAACAAGGAAACCTTCCAGAAATTTAGTAATATCGTATATTACACTCACTTATTTGTATGTACTATGTACTGGTAGTAGTAATAAAGATATATAAGTTCCAGAGGAATAATAAATATCACTGTAATAGAGATAATTTAGTATAACAAGATAGAATCAGGCCTCAAACGTTAAACTACCAAGTTTGCAAAACTTAACATAGTATAACCACCGACTCCAGTCACAATAGCTAGTCTGTTAGATAACAGTTTATCTATGGTGTGAAATATTTATGATTATAAGGTATGCAGTGGAGTATGAAAAGTTGCTCAATGTAGAAAAAAGGTAACCGATATTCAAAATAAATAATTCGGAAAAGGTGTTTACGATGTTTTGAAGCCAACGTTCAAATTCTAAGATGCTGGTATTATATGAGTTACTCAATATATTGAATACTGAATTCCAGGTGTGTAATTTCGACAACACCTGAATTCAGGTAGATGTGGGTTGTTAATTGAATTTTTATTTTCTTATTTTCTTCCGAGTCGACGTTTTACACACTAAATTACACTATAATCCGTTTTAAATACATCAGATATAATAAATGATAAGTTGAAAATCAAATACGTAAAAATCTTGGGAATGAACACATAAAACCAGAGATTTTGATTGACATCAACTTATACATGTCATCCGAAAATAGATGTCTCAACAGATTTGCTTTTCTGTGACTTTTATGAGCAGAAAAATAAACAGGAGGTAAATATCTATACAAGATTTAGATAGAAATTATTATGACTTACCAAATACAATGCTAGAGCTTGGATTAGACACTGAGTAGCAAGAATCATTAATTGCCACAGGCACTGTTTCGAGCCACTAAAAATCACCAGAAATATTATAGTTAAAATGAGAGGTTTCAATATTGCTATTTGTAATTGTTATACTCCACACATAAACACGATAAAACCAAAAGCTTGTAGAATGCCTTTGACCATTTCTGAATTTCAGCATAACTTTTCAATTGTACACTGAGTGAATAAACATATTGCTTTAAGTGACACAGATAATCAATATGTGGGTTGTAAATACTTGAGGTTTTGTATAAATTTTCCTAAACAAGTATATTTTGAGCCGATATTAGTTCTGAATATTAGTCTTCATTTAACAGCTTTACGGATATTAACTGCTCTTAGAATTGAGATCAAAAAGAGAGATCAATGTATTATGTCTAAAACGCTACATTTACCAATGTAATCAACATACATATACGATAGATTAGTGAGAAATCATAGTTTTATTTGGTTCTGATTAGAAGTTTATTCTTCTTCTGCACAATTAGCAGCGGATTCTCACTGATCAGTTAATACCGACGAGTGTACATCGAGCTCAAATTACTACACCTCATGTCAGCTCATGAACTGATTTCATGTCTTGTCTAGCTTACTAGTTTTCTGCAAACTACATCAAATGGTGTCTAAGTAACTGCAAATATATCCCATCTCAAGTCGATAAGGGTTTACAGCCTGATCATTGCATTTTTACAATTAATCTAGTATTATATGCACAACCTCAACATTGTTCACCCAGTGGCTTCATTACGTACGAGCACTGCTTCAACGATACCTGAATTCAAATACTTGCAACTTAAGTGTTTTTATATATTATGTTTCGGACCCGCAAAGCAATACCGAGAAAATTAATGAGGGACATATTCACCCATTGGTTGACAGATGGATACTTTCCCCATGATAGGTGGTGAGATTTAGCAAAGTTGGTGAAGGCTCTTTTATGACAAGATTTCATCAAATACTAAGCTACTAAAATTGAAGAGGTTTCCAAGATAATGAAAGCGGTTAATGCACTCCAATACTCAACTCCCTATAGTCGAACTAAGCAAACTAAGCCCTATTCAACGACATATGTATGTATTACTAAGCAATAATGCACCTTGTCACTATACATCATGTTAAATTATTGAAAAGTATGAATCAAAGACTAAAATAAAAATTTACCTGGGTAGGTAAAAAAGTATCCACTAATCCAACAAACGCTGCACCGATGAACAATCCACACATTACAGGGAAGACGCAATATGCACCTAGACCTAAGTCAATTTTAGCCATCTCCAATGCTGGTTCTAACAGGGACCAGAATGATGCAGCTAACATAATCTATTGATGCAAAATTAAAACAATATATGCAACTATACAATGAATCATAAGGTAGTCATGCTTAATTGTTTTGACCAGGATAATATTCTACAATACATCTGTGAAAAAATTGATGAAAATAATTCAAAAACCATTCCAATAATTCTAATAAACACAGCTTGTAAAAGTGAATAATTATGTACAGATAAAAAAGCTAATGCATGCAGCTGGAAAGTCGGAACGAATAAGCATTAGAGCAGTCTAACCAACCTTTAGCACCATTCCTAGGATTCCATAATAAAATTAATCGGGTATTTATCACTTTGTGTAAAATCCATAACGATGAAATCAAAAGGGAAAGAAACTGAACAAAAAACTTCAACTGATTTGTTTCCAGATACCATCAAGATATTGGAATTTTGATTTTTCGGAACAGAAAGGTAATGGTTTTTACAATTTGACAATCGTATGAAATAACGTATATACAGCCAAGGAGAGAAGAAATTGGAAATTATTTGATTTACCAAGCGATTATTTGTTCCAGCAACGGGATATACTGTAATTCTGATCAAATTCATGAGTGCGAACTAGATTTACTTTTTAAAAACTCCTTTCTTATTGTACGGACATTAATATAGTTGAACAGTTTAAGGTGGTACAACAATATGACTTGTTCCATATTGTTAAAATTTAACAGATTAGGGATGATAACGTGAAAACTAGTAAGACTTACTCCAGATGAAAAACCCAAACTGCCGTCAAGAATCTGATTCTAAACACAACAAATTAAGGGATAGAGAGAATTAAAATACAAGGAGAATTAAGTAAAAAATTAAAGATGAATGTTCACTCAACTGCAAATAATTTTAATCCGTTACCTAAAGCTTCCAATATAGATAACCATCATCTCACGGATCTAAAACAGAAGGATTGCATCTCCCAATACCTGTTGATCTATCATTCAATGGGTACATTGATTGACCGTACATCTTAGTTTGGTCATATCATTAGCGATTTCACAATGGAACCTTATGCTAGCCAGTATAATTCATAGTGGGTTGTAGTCGCAAATATTTTTTTACTAAGTAAGGACAAGAACAGCATACACCACAATAATTTTCGGAACAGGAGTAGGAGAAATTCTAGTCCGATTACACATGTACTGAAGCATCGTAATGTAGCTCGAACACAAGACAAAACTAAGCCATCTACATATAATCAGACATATGGGACCGAAGTGAGTGGATGAATTATGGGTTTCCAAAAGATTGGTTATCCAAACAAATTATATTGTAATTCCTAAAAAGTCTAATAAAACACTAAAGTCAGATAGTGATCACAAGTCTTAGTTACAAAATCTAGGAATTTGTCGTAAAAACATTTGGGGTAAGATGAAATTGATCCACAGTCACTAAGTAAACAAAATTTCAAAACTAATTGGAAAAAGATGTCTTTAAAAAATTGTATTGAGGATATTGAAACTAATAAAGTTTCCTAAAAAGAGAAATTGTGCGCCTTCGCAAATGAAAGTCCCTAGATCTTTAGATTTTTTCTGTACTATATCCTTACATAAAATCTTTCCTTTAGATATTACACCATTGAGGTAACTACTCCTATGGATCCGGTGTTCGTTTTGCTGTGCTAATGAGGTGTGGCAACTTGAACCGATGCATGTATGTGCCTCGTCCTACATTGTAACTGACTGACTGACTTTAGATTTTTCCACACTTGTTTTCATCAGAATACACAACCGCATAAAATAAAAACATACCTTTAGACTGGTTGAGGAATTCGAAATGATGAAACAAAACATAGAGCCAATCGCAGTTACAAACCATGTTAACCCAGTACCCAGCACAGTTTGTATAAACGGTGAAACATCCTCAATCATGATTACGAAAAAACAATTGAAAATTTGAGTAAAACCACTAAGAATGGTACGTATATATGTCACACAACAATCTACAACCCGAAAACATAAACAGATAAACAAACAAGATTAAACATGTCATACTTGAAAAAAAAACCACCTAACGGTTTGCTTTTTTTATTTAAGAGCTCCTTTCAGCTTTAGTAAGTTTGACAAAAGGGAATTTATTTAATGAATTATCGAAAATAGCATACGTGAACCGTGAATGCCCGTTTAAGACCAACCTAGTTTCACTTTGAACAATTATTATGATAGTCTTATACCTTCGAACTAAAAAGTGATTAGTTCATTCTGTTCGCAAACTTGTGGGAATGGCGAACTTATGAACAACAAGATTACAGAACTTCTAATGGTTAATCGTTTTATTTCTAATCAACATACTCCAACGAATAATAATTACTCGTTACTCACAGACTGAAATTGGTAATTTGTAAGAGCACTGCGTGTCAGCTACCAAAAGATGAAAAATCTAATTATAAATGAGTTTCACATGGAATCAAAGATACATAACATTGGGAATTGTTCTGTAATGACTGGTGGTGAAGCATATATATTCGTTTATCTAGAGGATCCAACACAATGAACAGGAATGTTGAAACCGAACTTTAGGTTGCGTTCAGCTGCATATTTAAAGTCGCTAATTGAAATCATTAGTTAACGCAATGAGATAGTCATAATATGTGGCAATTGAAAATCAGGCTATATCTTGGTATGACAGAAATAGGAAACGTGGATTAATAGTGAGATCAAGTATGTGGACATTTCAAGAGTCCAATTGAGATTTCAATGGCATCCCATATACTTTCAATATGTAACGAAATGTTCATAACTATTCAACAATCAAATATTCATTCCATATCAAAACCTCAGGCATCACGCAAGCACGTTTATCCTAAGCAATAAATACACAGTGAAACACACAATATTGAAAAAAGTTGCGAGTGTTTTCAAAAAATTTCCTTGTTGAAAGACAAGAACACTAAGAAAAATGGGGTACTTATTTTATTTGAAAAAGGTAGACAAAATATCAAATTTTCAAATAATCTGCAATATAAAAATGGAAACCAATACAAAATATTCTTTTAGCAAAAATAGTGTTATAAAAATGCATTACATATCGGTTCATATGAAAAAGATGAAGAATCTGTCTATTGTTGTAATCCTTGGATAAGCCAATAAGCGATTTGTTCTAAGTATTCAAAACCGAAATGTACGCCGATATTACGATAAACATCTAAACGACGATAAACTGCATGACCAGTTGGAACAGTTAGTGTCAGCTTCGTAGAACAATCAGCACACTGAGCAACTGACCCACCATTTGCAATCAGCAACTCCTGTATCCCACCACCTACAGTACATTTAGGACACTGGAGATCCTATCAAAGATAATAAGTGCAGTAAAATAAATTTAATGCACACATGTGCGTTTAACCAATCATTTATCGTCAGAAATTTTCAAATAAAACACGATCAAATTTGAAATTGTTTTCGTCAGAAGCTGGCATAAATAGAAAAACCATAACGGATTACAAAATGAAGTCGTATAGGAATACCAAGTACCAGTAGATTACTTGATAACTAAACTATGTACATATGGTTAGTCAATATAATTATCAAAACATATTAAAAAAGGAGAAAATATGTTAATGAAAGAGTACACTTTTTACCTACATTAAAGGAACTATAAATGACTTCGATTTTTCACATTAGGCCGACAACAAAACATGAAGGAATAATTTATAGTAAAATATCAAGAAAACAAATTATTCATTGAGTTATTGGCAAAACGTTTAGATGTTCTGATAGATATGATACGGCGACGAAAATGAAAGCTAGTCAGAAAGTCACAATTAGTCAAAACTAGATGAGAAGTGAAGTCACATATATATTAACATGACCATGAATGAAAATCATTTTCCCTTTATTTCAAAACTAAAAGTGATGTAATATTTATCTAATGATCGCGACGACAATTTATGCATAAAGCACGACAGAATGATAAAAAATCCGAATAACTAGTGGTTTACAGTAAAGAAGAATTACTAGTGATGAAAAATATAGTGACAACAAACTATTTCTGTAATCTGCTCCATGAAAATGCACGTCATGAATGATCCTCAAAATAAAACACATTGCAGCAAATAATGAAACTTATGCAAATATAGACTGAAGAGTGAAAAGAATAGGTACCTTCGGTGCAACATAGAGCGAGTAAAACAGAAGGTGTAATAAAACCTACTGTATGTTGAAATAGCAGTTTGACAGAAACCTCTTAGCTATCGGACTAGGAGGTCTCTTGTGTATTTATATATATGACTGAGATTTATTGGTACGATACAATTTGATTTTGAAAATTAAGCAATCCGGTGCACCAAGGTTATAAAGCCATCTTTTCAGAAGATTTCGACTTTTAGGTATGACTAACACTACATTAACGAAACACTCAGAAAACCACAGAAACCGAGTTAACTTACTATACCTGGAATATGAGATACAATTAATAGAATAGAATTGCAATAGCAGAATTGGATTTAACAAACCTGTAAACAATGTTGAAGTGAGAATTGTTCAAGCTGTTGAACAAGCGCTTCTTCTAGCCTATCACGTGGATAAACTGTTCGACAATGTGGGCATATCCAAGCCCAATAACCTGATGGTCTAGTTTCAACGTGCATTGAATCCATAGATGCCATTATCCAGACAACATGTATATCACGACAAACATCTATGTCCCGTGTAAAATTACACGTTGGGCAAGCAACCTCTGGGAGATACACTAGTAGAGAACGAATAGCAGTTGTTTCAAAAGTATATTTATTTGGATCTTGGTTCAACGGACAATCCCTAACCATATGAGGGGCAATCCAAATGGCCTCAGGTGAAAATTCTCCAACATTTATTAAACGAAGTAAATCATGTCTAATGCTTTCAACGTGTAACTTCGCGAATGGCTCTAAACTCAAAACCTTTTAAGGATTAAGGAAAAAAAGTATGAAAACAGAAAAATAAATACCAAATAAAAAATTCAACTTCGCGACTTACAGTTTCTTAAAACGGAAAACAAAAACTAGAACTACGTAGTGATAGCATACTAAAACTAGGATGTTTTTGATGCTTGAGAAAATCCGTTAACGAACGTAAACCAGTGGCGCATGGTTTCCAGAACGTAGCTTATGAAAGCACCTAATACGAAAAGCGACAAATGAAACTATTTCATTCTCTTTAGACTATTTTGTGTTGAGGATGACTGTTAGAAATGCATCATTCTTGAAGATGGTTAATTGATTACAATAGACCAAATCCGCAGCTGCTTGTAAAGATCGCCCACTTTAACACAGCCTGGAGTTTAAAACTACTATTCACATAGAATTTCCAGCTGAATCGAATCGATAACTTGAATATATAGATACATTAAACAGATTTAACAAATTCTTCGTTACGAAAAAAGGAAAGGATGCATGATAACCAAAAAAATGAGCAGAAGAAAATTCAAAACTGAATAATCAGCGTCTGATGAATTGTTTTACGAGTGAACTGATTTTTAGGATTTAGTGTATACACTTTTGAAGAGACCAATGATTCAATCCTGATTGCCGATACATCACAGACAGTATTGATAACAGAGTTTAATAGAATCAATGACGCGTTTCAGGAGAACCATCAGTGATTCTTTACAATAATTAAACTTTTCTTTTTCGATGACAAAAGAGGTCAAAGTTGTTCGGTATTTGGATAGTTCAATAATAAGACGAAAACGTTTTTCAATACCCCAATTTCAAAAGCTACTTGATGGAAAACAAGTGAAGGAAGACACCTAAATTTACGCGAATTCCAATAGTTATGATGTGGGAAGTTATATATCTGGGACCAGTGCTATTCTTTAAAAGTAACGCAGCAACACCTTGAACTTAATAGTAATAATTATATATATATATATATATATATAGAGAGAGAGAGAGAGAGAGAGAACAACATACCTCACACAATGATTTGATGAAATCAAGAAGCGGAGTGAAATTCAGAGTATAAATAGCCTGATGTGCAGGTAAAAGAGGTAGAACTAAGTTCGGACTCGAGTTTTTGTTGTTGTTGGTAGCATCGAACTCTATGCCTGAACCGATTGACTTTTCCGCAAGGTAAGCACTGACAAGATCGTTATTTCGAGGTATGTTTGAACCATTATTTAATTGGCAGGTCCTATTATTACCAATTGACGGGTCAGTTTTTCTCACTAACTCTGGATCAATCCATGCAGCTTTCCGTTGTAGGCGAATAATTAGATTGTATAACTCTGGGGCCAATTGATCTCTAAATAAACGTTCTTCATATTCCTTAACTCCAGGAGAGACAGTAGCGTCTGACTTGTATGGTGTTGTTTCAGCTTCATGTACACAGTTAGGATCTTTATTCACATCAGCATCAAATTCAAGAGATCCGTGTGGTTCATTCTAAAAAAAGTATAGAACTGTCTATCATGGCTCTTAAAGAGGAACTAACGAAAAATCAAGTGAACGCCTAAGAAAACAATTGTTGATTAAAAAATGGGTGTCCTTCATTAAAATGTAAAAAGTTAACATCTCAAACCCTCTTTATAAGAGGTTGTAAACTGTAATATTATAAAAATCATACAAAAAATGACTTACCAAAGAACAATTAATGGATTCAATCAAACGGCGATGTTCATTTCGAACTGCATTGTAAATAGCCAAAAGATAGCCTGCCAGAAGACTTTGAAATTTACTTCTTAAACCACGTGTCTCAGGCAAATAACGTGCTAAATGCCAATGCATATCAAGCTCAGGATCGGGAAGATTAGGTTGTCCTTCTATATTGTTTTCCTTATCTTCAGTATGAGTATGAGACTGATGTTGAATGGTTAACACTTTGCCCCATTCAACATCTTTACCATCGACTAGATTTTCTACAGAGGCCTGGAACGATGAATAAAGAGATGGTAGAAAATCCATTTAACCGATAAATTTGTGATCAAGGTAGTTTACGGATAACGTTGGGCTGATCAGTTGGAAAAA